TCCTTACTGCCAATATCGATGTTAAAATCTTTCTTAAGAAAAGGTTGCTGACCAAAATTAAACAGAAGACGCTGAGAAAAGCTGCCAAACAATGATGCTTGGAAGGCAACGCTCACACGAAATTCGATTTTCTGCATTTGGGATTCCAATACAACTTTCTCCTTTGGTATGTATACCGACGATTTCAGCTCTTTGGACAAAATAGTGGTAGCTTTGTTATTCCTATCAAATCCCACAACTTTGATCTTTGTAAAATGGAAGTTTGAACGAAAATTCAGTAGTTCAACGGCTGGAAGGCCTAATTTTGCCTACAAGAAAATAAAGCATATGACCATAAAGTAATGTTATGTAAATTTTAACGGATTTCGAATGCTATTGAGTCATTTGCCTTGGAGATTGAAGTAGACCTGTAACGGGATGTTTTTCAATGAAATGTCATCTATAGATAACATTATCTTTACTCTCTCTCCAAACCGGCGAATTACTGAGCCGTGAATTTATATTTTTAAAGAAAGCGACTGCAATAGAGAAATTTGCTAAATGCTAAAGTTTTGCAGGGCAATTTTACTCAAATACAATATCCGATGGTGTTTGGATTGTAATAGTCTCATGTGGACGTACTATTAGGACCTCAAGCATCGAGAAATCTCTAACGCTGTTCCGGGAGACGGGGAGATTGAGAGTTGCATTGGAAATTGCATTGGCTAGCACGAGCTGGCCAGCCAACACAATTTCCTACAGAAAAATCCTTATAGGGTATTCGTTGATATATTTGATGCCATTCGTGGTATGGTTAGCAATTATTCGCCTTTTTACTAATGTTAGGTGCTTTTTGTCATTTCCAGTGTTTATTTTTACACAGCTGCTCGATTTAAAGGGGAGGGAGGGGGGGGGGGGGGTAGGAGCACGTGAACTGTTAGTACAAATAACCTATTGCCCGCAGATGTTAGTGATTTTGGTACCTAAGGTCCTGGCTTATTTACTGTACCTCAAAACGAGCACAAAACTCCCATTCGTAATAATGGTCATCACGGTCCTCGGCGAGCTGTACATTAGGGACTACGGGGTTACATGTGAGCTCAACCCCTGGAATGGAGTCTTTACACTAAAAGATAAGTAGGGAAAATTAAAAACGTAATGCAACAAAGCAGCATATACTTGATGTTATTTTTGGTCTTACCTGAAGCTCATGATGCTTTAAGGAGTGCTCGTTGTCTGGTATTCTTATTTCTCTCCGTTCTTTAAGTCTCTCTTCGAAGAGTTTCGTCCAGGAGTCCAGTTCAGTCTTACTGTGCGCAAAACGACAGCCTCGTCCAAATTTGCAGATTATTCTTGATTGCACGCTATAACAAGAATATAGTAGCCTTGGTGACTCTCTTTTGTCACAAGGCAAGGCAAGGCAAGGCAAGGCAAGGCAAGGCAAGGCAAGGCAAGGCAAGGCACACCTTTAATCAAACATTATACAGGTATTATTACATAATCAACTTACCTCAAGCATAGTCTCAAATCGCCTTTTAAAGCTCCATGGGGGAGTGGTCGTACGACAAACATTAATTGATTAGTTGATACATAAACGATTTGACGAAAGAAGGCCTCC